GGTCAACGAGGGTTATCAGATTGAAGAAAGGAGTTAAGACCCCCTCATCCTAAAGGAGTCTCAAAATCCTTTATCAGCGGATTAGAAAGTCAAAGACTTCTCATATGAAAGGAGTCTTGCTTGCTCAAAAGGCTGACTAAGGTGCTTAGACTCCTCTGACAAATGGTGACTCATCTCCCAACATTGGATAAGGGAGTTTAGAGTCCACTCCCAAAGGAAACTAATTCCAAAATTATAGAAGAAGTTGGGAGGAACATAAAAGGTGCGCAACTTAGAGCTCCTCCTAGAGCTCTAGCAATTGATGTGAACCCTCAAAAAATTGATGGGGATCCCTAGAGAGTTGAAGTGGAGGTGAACAGACTTCAAACACCTGGAGGTTGATGCAAATTTTGCTCCAACATTTTTCATTTTTGAATAAAAGAATATTAGTGAATCGCACAATTTTATTTACATATATCCAACATAAAATTGTTTCTCTATAAGCTAGCACGTCACTACCAAGGTGCGAGACTTTCTTTTTTTCCCCAATAAGTCAGGTCTTGAGATTTCCCTCGTATTAAACTACTTACTAGGATATTTGGTTGGCCACATTAGGTGGTGGGATTGGGTAAAATAATTCGAGAGACAATAAACCTTAACTTTCGTTCGTTAGGGTCCAGAATAAGTCAAAGATGTTAATTCTAGCCTGACGTGGATAGTACTATCAAATACATGTAATGATTGAACTTTTTTTGTGAATCTTATTTCCATCTCACAAATTAAAGAGTGGTGGTATACAGGAATTATATTGGATTGGGTTGGATGGGATAATTTGGAACCCCATCTATTCACTCCATTGCATAGCCAAACGTGGCATTGGACTATTTTACTTCAACTCCAATTTAATTATCCAACTGGTATGGATTGAAGGGGTGTAGGATATTCCAATCCAATTCCACCTAATAAAAACAACCAAACAGGCCCCCACGGACAAATGAACAAACTGTACATTGCAACGTGGGATGCATTGCATGCCAAGTTGGAGTATTTTAAAGATGGATGAAGGGGCCCACCATTCACATGCAAGGCGTTTTTGCATGAAAACCCTCCCAACAACAATTGTTTCCACTCACGTGCCAATTTAATGAGGGGGTAAAGTATTTAAAGGTTTTGTGGGCCCCAATCTCCTCAATCAAAATTGCCTACCAGAAGCTGCAGGCCACCCACAATTAACAATCCTTGCAGGAGAATAGAAGAATATGTTTATCATTCCATTCGTATGGAGAATCATTTGGTAGTTGCTATGTCCCTGCCAGATTTATGGAAAGATTAATTATAGTTGTTACCTCTAAAGCATCATCCTTTTTTTTTTTAATCATTTCATCCTCTAAGTTACTCAATTGTGCTTAATGAGATAAATTGATAACTATCTTTGAAATATTAGATGAAAAATGGCATGTTTGCACGCTTACACTTCTTCTCTTCTCTTCTCTGAATGCTCCAAACTAGAAAAAAAATATTGAGTGTAACGGTAATATTATGTCGTCGTTGTGATATAATGTCACCATCCAATAAAAATATAACAAATAAATAGGTGGATCTCACATATTCTAGTAACTATCATGTCATATCATTTAATAACCACTCAAGTGAGATTCTCTTTACCCATTTGATTATTTATTATTTAAATATTGATATCACGTGTCAATAGTAACGTAATGTTACAGTATACTTAATGTTTACTCACAAAATTAGAACCCTACTCTTCCCTGAGGACTTGGATGCTAGACATCCCTGATGGCTTTGGATATGGTGTGCTAAAAGTCCCGAAATGAGGAAAAGCTCTAGGGAAGAACTCTTGTGCACCAAAGCTGAAAAAGTCATTTTCCCTTTCTCTAATAATAAGGTAAAGTTATGAAACATTTTAAAGTATGAAATTTTGTTTTGCAGCTGAATCGGGCCTTTTGCTATTGTTCGGTCGCCACCACCATCTTGGACCCCATCTCCCCTTTCCCCACCTCACCCACACACCTCAAAAACCCCTCCAATGTTGTCTACCCAACCCCCTCAACCATCCCCATCCTGAACCTCTCCCCTTCCCCCAATCCACATCCCACTGACACCCCCCTCTGTCTCATAGTGTGTGTTTATCATTCCGCAACATCTATTCCTTCTTGTAACCAAACACCATAGTAATTGCTACCGGCATTGAGTATTCCATACCCACTCAGCAACAATGGCTAACAATTTACATATAATTTTCGGCATTCCACAACACTGACATTAAATTGAATCATGATCAAGTTCTATCTACTGGTAATCCCACACAAGACCTACATGTATTCGAGTGAATACGAGGGCTTTATCTCCTTTGAACAAAATGGCAAGGGAAGCATATTCTATATGTAGAACTTATTAAAATCGAACCACCTACCCCCTTTCTCTCTCATGAACATTGAATTTGAATAACACGAAAACGACAGTTGCGTTTTATGGATTGACTTTGCAATGTGTTTGACACAACAGGTTGTAAAACTTAAAAAAGCTTAGGGGTAAAAGTGTAATTAAATTTTCTTTACTCTTGTCCAACCAATGCCCCTAATTATACAAGTTGAAAGTGCATAGCATTCTATATGGCAATTTTGGGTGGTAGTAAGTGATTTTTGGCATCACTTCATTTGAAGAACAAGTTTTTTTTCAGTCTGATTATATTATTTCCACCATCCATTCTATTGGAGAAAATATTCATTGTAATTGTGATACCACATTATCAACAACACATGGTATTACTAATCAATTATAATATATTATGTGCATGTAATGGATTACACTATTTTAATAATCTTTAATATCAATGGGCCTTTGGTCCAATGGTATACTCCTTACCTTGTAAAGATTTTACCTTTATAATATCAATGTTGACTAATTAACACTTTGGAATAGTAAAGTTTATTTATCCTACATGGTGTATTATTATTATTAACTAGTGATACTACGGACCACTGATGCAATGAATATTTATTCGTTTCATTGGCCTTCTGCTTCTCTCGCTGTACAAAAGCAAAAAAGAACCTTTATTTTCATAATTTTCAATTTTTGGGCTAAAGCCCAAACTACACTAGACAAGCATCCATGAAGGCAACATGGCCCTTGCAGCCGCTCCAGCCCATTTGGCTAGACTTTATTGTCATAGCCCATCACATTATTTTAGAGTTTCTGGTGGTTGGTCCAATTTGAGACAATTTTTTGTCTAAAAGTTTAACAAAGCGTTCTTTTAGATCTTAAAAGATAATTGAATTTATAATAATTAATTTAATTTTAACAAGATAATTGGATAATAATATAGGACAGTGATTTCGGACAATCTATCCAATTTCAACTGAAGACATGGAACTACACAGTGACATTGGACCAAACTTCGGCCCAATGAAAATTGTGAGAGCAATGTCATTCAACTCGATGATGGACACTGTACATACTAATCTATGATAGGCAGTGAAACAAGACAGGCTCAGCAAAGTAGCGGACTTACCGAAACTCGATTTGTTTTTGATCCAAATTGCAATGGTTGCATAACCCAAGTCGAGAGAGGACACATATGCAATGGACCAATGCTGAATTATTTGCATCTACACCAATCTGCAGCCTGCACATGAAAGAATGAGAGAGAGAGGGAGAGCAGCGAAACCCTCTGTTCAGACCGAAAACACAAGAAATTTCTTAGATCTCATCAATTTTCTTGTGAAAAAAAATGAAAATGAAGCAATACAAACAATGTCTTCATCGTTCAGCGGCTATGAAACTGTTCCGTTCCTCGACTTTCATGACTACAGCTGCTGCCCTCATCTGTACTCACCAATGAAAGATGCACTTCACTTCCAAATGTTTTTATTGCGTTAACCTTAAGTACAAAAATGTAAATAAAAAAATATTTAATTTTTTGCCTAGTTGCCTAGTTGCCCAAGACTCTTTTTTGATTATACTTTGCTTGCACCACCGACACTCTATTCTGTTTTGCTTTAAAAATAAAATATTACTTTGCTATCTTTCCCTGAGCTCCAAGACAACTGAACCAACTCCCTAAGAAGAGCCATTAAGAAAGAGAGATCTATTTAAAGGAATTCGTGTTAATTGTTTGGACTGAGTGACAGTAAAAGTATCCTAAAATTGTCCTTAAAGCACTAAAAGATTCAAACTTGTACATTTTATCATAAAAGATGTGTAAAATGTACTTCTAATATTCACTTGTTTTTAAAAAAAAAAAAAAAAAAAGAAAACCATTGTCCATCAGATTTTAAGTAAATGACTCTTGCCAAAGTAACAGGCATTAATGCCTCTAATAAAAGCTATTAAAAAATTCAATGAAACCTGAACTCAATTGAGGCAAAAGAAAAGGTTAGAAAGCCAAAAGTCATCTAAAAATTCAGTCAAACCTGAACTCTATAGGGAATAGTTAAGCTTCCTCTTCATGAATCCATGCCATATATCAACCATAAGTAGGTAAACCACAATTCTCTGTTCAAGTGTCCAGTCTCCAATATTACAATAACAACCCTGTCCCCATTTTTAATTCCAGTCGTGTTTGAGGGCATTGGTCCTTTTCTTCCTGTGAGGCCCGTGCAACTGCAGAAGCAGCGAGTTGGTGACAACAAATATTGAGCTCAAAGCCATCAGCCCGCCTGCGGGGGAAGAAAAACATTACAAAGTTAAAATATACCTTACAGAATACCGGTGCAGTGCACTTTCCATCAGTTCGGATGTAAATCCTAACAATAAATTTTTTTTCAAAAACCCGGGTTTTCAAATGAGAGGTGCCTTGTTACTGGGTGAAACCATGGGGGAGTGTAAAGTATATAATTATTTAACATTTTGTATAGAATATTCATAACCAATATTACTTGAACAAAAACGACACACCAAATTTTCGGTAGAATGATCTGGTGTATTCTAGGAACTTACTGCTGTGCACATAAGTCAAAGACAAATTTTCAATCCTATTTCCACGGAGGAATACTGAAATTTTACCGACCTGAAACCGAAGGTGTCATGGCAACATCAAAATGGGGAAGCAGTACTCCAGCTGCAATGGGTATTGCAACGACATTATATGCTATTGCCCATGACAAATTTTGATGAACTTTTGCCATCGTTGCTTGTGCAAGATCCAGTGCATCTACCACCTGCCACAAACATGAACCGACTGAGACCTATGTAGATAACTACAAAGTTCTGGTGTTTAAGAAAACAAGAAATGGGGAAAGGTTTTTGAGGATCGTACTGTTGTTTTACGTGATGAATCATAGTAAATGCACCTAATTTTTAAGAGGCATGTGTGAGGGAAATCATCGTATCTGCTGCAAATAATTTGATCATGTAATGTATTATAGCTTGACCTCTGTACATTTGGCAGTTGGTGGTATTTGATTTCCCTTTTTTCTGACACTAGGAGGAATTCTACTCGTGAAAACAAAACTAAGTCCCTACATTTAATATATTCTACATTACTCATGAAAACAAAACTAAGTCCCTACATTTAATATATTCTACATTTCCTTAATCATTTTTCTTTGGTTCCTTTGAAGAGGTAATAGTGAAGATCTCGATCAACTTAAAGGATGACACGCTATATGCATGAATCAATCAATATAAGTCAGATGACATGAAATAACTTACCTGCGAAAGCCTATTTCCAAGAAGAATGATGGATGCAGCATTAGATGCGGCATTTTCCTGTCCTTCAACTTGCAAAGCAATCCCGACATCAGCAAGAGCCAAAGAGGGTGCATCATTAATGCCATCACCAACCTTCAGAAGTACAAGAAATGTCAGTTTTACAGAAATCCCAGTGGTCTAGAGTACTAGAAATGTATAGGTTGCTCATTCAAAAGTGGTCCTATACGTAAGCCAAGTACAGCTTAATGTTGGTTTTCGAAAATTAAGGTTTTTCTGGAAAAAGTTTAACAAAGAGATCAAAGCCAAAGGATCTCAGTTGGTAAAACCGAAAGAACCTGAAACTAAGAAGCGCAAAGACCACCGGGAAAATGTTACCACCTTCCCACCATTGGATTTAAGCAATTAGAGAAACCAAAAGGGAGAGAGAAAGGAAATTAGATTATTTCCAACAACCTTTGGTGTCTTACAATGTCTTCTAGTGTCTATGGTCCCAAAAAGCGAAGTCCTTATATCCTCTCTTTAAAGGATTGTTGTCAATTATGTTTTAATGATTTTAGTTTTATCAAACGACAAAAGCCCTCGTGTAATTATCTTGTGGAGTAAAGTGATGTTTGATGTTCGTGTCCCACCTCATTGATATTTGTGAACTTCTTTGATATGTGATTTGATTTAAATAACTTAAGTCTAACTATATTTTCTTGTGGATATCAATTTGCACCCACCTTGTTTGTGTTCTACTTTTTTCAAAAAATTTGTTAACACGTGCCATTGTCATCTTGTATCCGAGTGTCCTGTGTCCATATCCTTCTTAGCTCTGAGCAATATAAGTTCTAATGATAAAGCTGTTTAGTAACTTGAAGAACCCATTCATGAGCTCATAAAAACTTTTCAGTTGAAATGCCATTGTGGCTGCTAAATTGGTCTGGAAATGGTGCCTCCTTGACATGATCAGAACTTGAACTCAAAGAATCAAGTTACATTTACAGGTGACAAGCAGCATCTATAGTAACCTATATTGGATTGTATATGTTGAAATATGATTCCAGAGGATAGGTGTTCTGACATGAGATAATTACCATTGCAACATGATGGCCAGAAGCTCGAAAAGTTGAGATGATGCCAGATTTCTGCTGTGGAGTCAAGGATGCATTGATCAGTTCACTTCGTATTCCAACTGTCTTTGCTACAGTTGCAACTGCCTCTTCCCTGTCTCCTGATAGGAGGACTGCTTTAATTCCCCTCTGGTGAAGCCTACCAACCAGAAAAAACTAATTGAGCATGTTAAACAAGAAAACTAGTGAGTGAATACAAGGCAGATAATCTCATGATAGGGAGTAGCAGGTCAAAAAATTCTGGTCGCCGAATAATTGAATCCAGCTAAAATGCAATGGCATAGAAATAATAAATGATGCAAAAAATTTGTGTATTAAGATGATGGCTAACAATTCAGCGAGGATATTGACGATCATATATGAGTTCGAGCAACAGGACCCATAATACTTGGAAGCACTTTTAGCCAGGAACCAAGTAGAGGGTGATATTAAGGGAATAGACAGAGATGAGAGAGATATAGAAGAAGAGAAAAACAAGAGGATATGTGGGAGAAGTAGAACCGAGCGGAGTATGAAAAGAAAGAGGGGCAAAAAGGGGAGAGAGAGAATCCAAGAGAGATATTTGACACAGCAAATTTAAATTCTAGACCAAGTATCCCCCCCCCTGAAGGACAAAAGATTACATTGAAACTTCTCCTCAAGGTGAATTAGCAAAAGTATTTTGTCTTGTAATCAACAATTTATTTGCAATAATCCACAAGCACACATTTAATCACACACACATTTGTATATGAAGAGCGAGAGAGAGAGAGAGAGAGAGGTCTCGTAGTCATGATCAGACACGGAAAGTCACATTGATAGGTATAGAAATAATTTCACACACAGTAATTACACCATTCCCCCAACCACAATGGAACAATACAGAAACCATAAAACAGTTACAGAAGAAATCGATTTAGTTCCTGTTTCCGGGTAAGGTTAACATGAAAGGTCATTCATTAAGACGACAATTTTGACCATAAAACAAAAGTACTTAGTTATGTGCCTTGTTATTTCATAATATAAGAGTACCTATTTATGGTCGATTTGGCGTCCTGACGTAAATTATCAGATATGGCAATAGCACCAATGATCCCTTCTCCTTCCCGACCTACATAAACAACTGTTTTTGAATGGTTTGCCGATGAACTACCTTCTGATGATTGACACATCACAGTTTTCTCTAGGGTCATTAGATCAGGCAGGTTTGTTCTTTGCTGGAAACGTTCATGAACCCATTCCAACTTGCCAACTGCAACCAAAAGCCCATCTACTTCTGCTAAGGTTCCAAAACCTGGTTCAACTAATTGTCCTTGAGTGATTGGGATATTCAAATTCAATGATTCTGCTTTGTTTATAACAGCCTTTGCAATTGGATGTGATGCCGTTTTCTCCACTGCAGCAGCAATCCGCAAGATTTCTGATTCTTGATGAACCAAAGATGCCACAGCAGAAACAGCAGGTTTTCCTTCCGTGAGAGTTCCAGTCTGAAAGTTGAAAAAGTAGCCAAGGTCAATCAATTAATCCTTAATAATCTAGAGAAATAAGAAATAAGAAGAGAACAAATTCAATTGAACTACCTTGTCTAAAGTGACACAATCTATTGCTGACAATCGTTCCAATACATCTCCTCCTCTGATAAGAAGTCCCTGTTTTGCTCCTGTGCAGTTGCCAAATCAAACAAAAGGTAAAGCAAAAGTTACCAAGAAGTATAGTATTTGTAAATGTTGCATACAGCTTTGGTTGCTGGTTGGGCTGGTTTTATTTATAATAAGTAGAGATTTTGAGTAATTCAAAAAGATCCGGTAACACAATTGGCACTAATAGTAAATTTAATTTAGACGTGCTGAAGAGCAAAGCATGAAAGAAGGCAACTTTCGGAAGATTTAGATGGAGCCTTCTTTATATAACAAGGGCATTTGCTGCATGAGAAATTAGGAAGGAGGTAGAATATTATTAATTAAGTTTGTAATAAAAGAAAATACATCTCATATTATGAGTGGTTATGCATCTCAATAGACTTGGAAAAGCTGTTAAAATTTAAAACTCAATTTTGGGACCAAATCAAAAAAAAAAAAAAACACTAAACAAAGAAATACATGTATGAGAGAGAATACATATAGGAGACTTCAATGGTCATATAAGAAAAGACCAAGAAGTATATGAGATGTTACATGGTGACATAAGTTTGGAGATAGGAAAGATACTGGCAAGTCTATTAGATTTTGCAGTGGCATATGATCAAACATGAGATTGTTTGGTTCAAACATGAGCGCAATCAATTTGGACAAATAATGCCAAATGTAAGTTTGTATCCAATCTATCCCTCCCAAATCCCCATTAAGCGAAGAGGTCATTAAATGAAATACATATGGAGAGCTTAGGTGTGAAAAATATAACCACCATAGGGAGATTAGTGAAAACAAGTTTCCCCACATAATTTAGGGTGTTCGAAGCTAAAAAAAAAGAAAATTGGCAAAGTTTTGTGAGATCATATACCAACTAAGGTTTGAAAATGTTTAGAACATGTTCTTTGTGGATTTAGAGTGTGTTTTTGCACTTAACAGATGAGGATATCTGTGTTTTCCTATTTACCGTTGCGTCAATAATAGAGTAACAATTAAGACTTGAAACAACATCTGAATCTCAATTAAGATTTATGTTGGACAAATAAACAATGTAAAAGAAAACATGAATATAGATATGGAATAACGGTATGATAGGATACGAATACGACGGCAAAACCTAGAAAATAGGATATGAATGCAACCAGGATGCATCTACAATAAAATATATACATTTTTTTTTAATTTTGACTATTATACGATGATTTTATAATTATACTTTCCAATAAATTCTTTAGTAACAATTACTACTATGAGTAATTTTTACTTTCAAAGAAGCACGTATCATTTCATTATGGTACACCAAAAGGCAAATGTGGCTAAGTAAAGAAACCAGAACCAACATGTATTTCGCTGGTTTGCTTAGAAGTAGTTATTACTAAGGGATAGGGTGCTATCAACAAAATTTATATCTTTTTAATGTGTGATAATTGATGATGCTTAAGAAACAACCACAAGTCCTCACACCCATACAAGTTTTTATTGTATGTCATTATATAAAGTATAGAGATTAAAATAAAAAAAATATACATTTACTCCTTGCATCCACTTTCGTATCTGAAGTGTATTTGTGGATGCCCATATCTGAAACATTCAAAAACAAGGAAACGTTTTCCAAGCAAGAAAGGGTTCAATGAACACTGCAGTTCACGATGCATAGCTTCCAACTATCTTGAAAAGGCAAGAACTCTACTTTAGGGGTATAGGTTGCAAACAGAGGTTACTACTTGGTGCTGCCCTGGGATGGGGACAAAAGACGATATATTAAACATTGGATACATATGATGAGTATCCATTACGTATCCTCCTATATAAAACTACTAGCTAACTGGAGTATCATGTTTCATATATGAAAACTATATACTTATTTAGGAGACTAATGAAGATATATGGAAAGATGAAAAAAAAATTCTTTATGATTTTGAGTAAAATTCAGTTTACTTCCTTGTGGTTTGAGAGATTTGCACTTCACCCCTCTATGGTTTGGAAATCAGCAAATCACCCATGTGAGCTTTTGGACTAAGTGCTACTATTATAATTTATAAATTCCGTCCAAATTGACAGAATTTGTGATGCACTTGTGTAATTTGAGAGTAAGTTGTGCAAAACATTCCATTCAAAGTCAACTTTAAATGAAAAAGGACACAATACCCATGTATTAGTTATGAAAACCAAATAAGGTCCAAAGCGGGCAAATTGCTTGGACTATCCAATTTATGGACCGCCCCAGCTAAGGATCTAAATGTCGTGTCGAAACGTCCGAAACGTTTTGGAATTTCAACACACTGATACGAAACATAGGTTGAATCCCAAAATTCAAAAATTTCGGTCAAAACATTACTGTGTCGGACCGTTTCCATCGAAACATTACCGTTACGGTCGAAATAGTACAGTTTTGAGGAAACAGTGATCACAAAAAGTTAAAAATTCGTTTCAGGCCAAAAGAAAAAAAAAACAAAAACTCTGAGAAAACTAAAGATTCCACAAGCAAGTCAAAATTCACAAGTCCTCCAAGCTTAGAAATCACATGTCGTTGAGATCTTCCAAGCCAAAAAATAAAAAAAAAAACGGAGAGAAGAGAGAGAGAAAGGCAATCGAAGAGACAGAGACTATAGACCAGAAATTGAAGGAGAAAGATTCAGTAACTTATCTCCTTGTGCAGATCCAACCATTTTTCACCAGATCTAGGGCTTGGGAGTTGTCTTCATCGCTGCGAGCTACCACTGACCACGAGCAACCACCGGTATGTTCTTCTTCTTCTTCTTCTCTCTCTCACCGACATCGCCAGTCGCCCCCTCTTTCGCATCTCGTCTCTCAGACAGAGTCGTTATGGGTCTACACTGTGCATCTTCTACCTTTAATATATATATATATATATATATATATATATATTTTGATAAGTATGAATAATTATATTTAATACCTCTCTGTAATTATATTTAATACCCTATTGTAATTACATTTAATACCCACTGTAATTATATTTAATACCCTATTGTAATTACATATAATTACATTTAATGTAGCCATAAGTATGTACTCATTAACATTTCATGTGTATTATGAGACCTTAATATTATATAAAAATGTATTTATTTGATAAAAATTAAGTGTTTGAAACTAATTTAAGTGATTTTCGCCTCATGCCAAGCCTTTTTTTCCTCCAATTTAAATTTATTCTTGTATAAATGGATTTTAACCCAATAAATATATTGAATTAATCAATTATTTAGCTTATAAATTAATGGATTGTATTTGTGTTTCCATGCGTTTCCGAAACGTTTCCGTTTTTGAGCTAACCGAAACGGTACTTCGAAACGAAATTTCAATCCTTGGGCCCAGCTTAGGCATTGGTTCACTGGGTTTCTGGTCTGGTTTTAGTAACATTGCTTATGGTAGACCTTAGGGAAGTAAATAATAAGATGGTTTTAGAAACAAGAAGAATTACAAATAGGTATGTTAATTTGAGTTAGGGTGCAGTAACTTTGATGAGAACGACTGCAAAGAATAGTGAATTTTCGTTTGTTGTAAACTAACATCAAGGTTACTCCTTAAGTTCATATTTTTTGCATTCGTTGTGGATGAATACCTAGAGAACATTCAGAATAAGGTTTTGTGACGTATGTTAGACGATATAGTCTTTATCAATAAAACTAAAGTAAAAAATACAATTAAAATAGAAATTGGGAAAGAAGCCTTAGAATCAAAAGGGTTTAAGATAAACAAAAATAAACTTGAACATACAAAATATAACATTAGTAGATGTAGAGATTCAAATAGTGAGATAGCAAACATCAAAACCAAGAGCTATCAAAGAGAACACTTTCAATATTAGGTATTAGTTATCCACAAGCGAGATTACAAACAATGCTACAGATAAAATTAAAGTAGATAAATTGGAGGATTGCATCAGTAATGTGTGATCGACATAGACCTCTTAACTACGTGGTTCAAAGTTGAGACATCGACTCGGATGTTCGTAGTGATTCAAAGTCAACAGTTTCCAGCCACCAAAGGTACCATCTGGATCGACTTTTAGAGGAGAGTATTATGGTGATTTTTTTTTAATTTTATGGAAGCTATCTGATTTGAGTTTCCTATTTTTGAATATTTTTTGAAAAATAGGGGTATTTTTTGGATTTGCCGTTTCAGACTTGTTTTGCTGAATTTTTTGCTTAGATCTGGGTTTATGGGTGCCGATTTGGACTAAGGAGGAGTCTCCTGTGTTGCCCAGTTGATTTGGAGGTGTTTTGATGCAAAAACAGTGCCGATTCCATTGTTCTCCGCCTGAACAGTGTGTGCTGTTTCATTGCTGTTTTGGCCTCTCTGGGATGTTATGAGAACAGTAGGGTTGATTTGTGCTGTTGTACAGCCTGTTTGGGTTGCTTTCGAGGTGTTTTTTGGAGCCCAACAGTGCCGATACCACTGTTCCTGACCAATGTTGTTACATTGTTTTTTGGTCTTTGTGGGATGGGTTGAGAGCTGCTGGGTTGATCTGTGGTGTTGGTTGTTGTGGCGTCGACATTGACAGTGGATTTGGTACTGGTCGTCAGGTTTCTTGGCCTCTGTGGTGTTCTTTGAAGTCTGGTTGTGCAATTTGGGTTGCCGTGTACGTGAATTTGGGTTGTTTGAATCAGATTCCTTGGCTCTTTTGTGGTTATTTTGGACAATAGCCTGCAACTAGCTTTGGATTTCTCTATCCTCTAGTATCGCCATCTAATTGACATTGCTGTTGTGTTTGTCTAGTTGACATTTCTGTTGTTTGTCGATCCAACCGTGATTGGTCATCTCGGACAGTTTCTTTGGCTCCATCATTGGTTGTTTGTGTGGTTGAGGATTGTTTGTAGTCTATTGATTCCTCGTAATAGCCAACTTGAATGGCGGTAGTGGTGGGGGACATGGTCCACTCCTTGGTACAGGTCTTGGTAGTCGAGGTACTAGCTATAGTATACTTGGTGGTCGTTAGAGTCGTGGATATCATTATTAGTGGAACTGTACTTATTGTAGTGGCACAGAACATACTGAGTATTATTGTTGAGATAAGTATAGAGACTAGTATATGCTAATCCTACTTCTACTAATGGCCCAATTGCTTGGTTTTGGCTCTCATAATGATCTTTCTTCTCAACTTAATAACCTCATTCACAAGTTCTCTTCAGTTTCTTCAAGTTTGCCTGCTACCACTGCCAGTTTTGCTAATGGAGGTAACTCAACATGTATAGTTAGTTACTCAACCTTCTTAGTCTTTTTGGATCATTGATTCAGGAGCTAGTGCTCATATGTATGGTATGTCATCCCTTTTCTCTAACTTTTGTGTGCCATATTCACGTGTTGTGTTAACAGATGGTTCTTTTCGACTGGTATATGGTACTGACGATCTCTCTCCTACACGGTCTTTGTCATTAAGCTCTGGTTCATTCATTCTTGATTTTTCCTTTACTTTTGCTATATTTGAGTCAGTTAACCAAGTCCTTATAGTGTTTAAGAACTTTTCTCCATCTTCTTGTGTTTTTTAGAACCTCAAGACAAAGATGGTGATTGGTGTGGGACATGAACACAATGGCCTTTATTACTCGGATCGTAGACGTTCTTTTCCAAGTTTAAGTGCTATTGTGTCTCCTCTCCAGTGACATTTTCACCTAAACTATCCTTCTTTGCAGAAGTTGTGTCAAGTCATCTCCAGTTTAATTTTCAGTATTTTGTGATCTTTATTGATAATCTCTCTCGTATGACTTGGTTATTTCTTATGAAAGACCGATCTAAGTTACCCAAGGTCTTTACTACCTTTTATAATAAAATTCTGACTCAATTTGATATTCGTATTAAAATACTTCGGTCTAACAATACCTTTGAGTATACTCAATCATTTATGAAAGTCTTTTGTGCTGAACATGGCATTATCCATCAAACCACCTGTCCTCGTACCTCCAAACAAAATGGTATTATCGAAGGTAAGCTTCGTCATTTGTTTGATATTGCCCGTACCTTGATGTTTAACATACATGTGCCAAAATCATATTAGACTGATAATGTTCTTACTTCAGTTTATCTTATTAATCACACGTCTTCCCCCATTTTGGACAACATATCTCATTTCTTGTTATATCCTGATAAGCTGTCATTTAATTTCACTCCTCATATCTTTGGTTGTGTTGCATTTGTTCATCGCATTGATTTGGATAGGGATAAACTTTCGCCTTGCTCGGTTATGTGTGTCAATCGCTGATACTCCCATAGACTCCATGGTTAAGTTGGATGATGATAGTGGTAGAAGTGTTTGATGATGTAGGACGTTATTGAAAGTTGGTTGGTAAGTTGATTTACCTTACAATGTCCTGACATTACCGATGTTCGTATGGTTGGTTAGTTCACTCATGCTCTTCATAAGTCTCATTGGGAGGCTATTTGTCATATTCTTCAGTATCTGAAAGGAGCACTGGGTAAAGAATTATTATATTGCCTTTCATCCTTCATGATTGTTACTAGTTTTTTTAAAACTAACTGGGCAGGTGGTCGTGCTGATAAACGATCTACTTCAAGTTATTATACATTTATTGGTGGTAATCTTTGTTACTTGGCATAGCAAAAAATAGAATATAGTTGGAGGTTAAATACCAGGCTATGGCTCATACTGCATGTGAGATGTGGGCTCGTTCACTACTTCGTAATATGGGTATCAGTGTGCTCTCTCCTATGAAGATGCATTGTGACAACCAAACAACTATTTTCATTGATAGCAATTTGGTATTTCATGAGAGGACTAAACACATTAAAGTGCATTGTCATTTTATTCGAGATTTCTTGATACGTAAGGAGATTATCACATCATACATCAAGTCTAGTGATCAGCTTGGTGACATCCTTACACCTTGACTCAATTTGTCTTTCAATAACCTTTGTTCCAAGTTAGACATTTTTTATCTTTATACTCCAGCTTGAGGGGGAGTGTTAAAGTTCTTATTTATATTATTAATAGTTTAGGGTAATATTGTAGTTCCCATAATGTCAGTTTACTATAAATAACTATAAATAAGAGTGTAGGAAAATATAGCCTACACCAACTTGATTATTCTTCTCCTTCTTGCTTCTCCTCTTTTCTTTGTGTCTCTCCTTTTCTGTAACCATAATTTTGTTTTTACTATTTCAACTATCCATCCCCTCTCCAAATTGATAAGAGCATTCTTGCCTAACAAAGAGAAAGGTCGATGGCAACAAGTGAAAAAAGAAACCAAGAAACAAGAAGCAACAAGCAGCAAAAAGTCTCATGACATACCCAGAGAGGTGCCCACTAGAATTGCTGTTGGTGTGGCAAGGCCTAGTGCACATGGGCAAGAGACCACCTGAAAAAAGGAATTAATGTAAGAAAAAGTGCAATATAAGCACAAGCAGATCCTAGCTATCTTCTCTAGAATATTGCAGATCTCGATAAGAGGATATCCATTACAAGAATGCCAGGTGTGCATACAAAGTAAAGAAAATTAAAGATAATGTACTCCATGCCAGGTTTGATGATTCAAAGCAAAAACAATTGAGATATACCATCATCTCCGAGATATAGGAAGTCAACAACTATATTTTCATTCTTTTGTCGTATGTATCTATAACTTAGCAACCTTGTTACTAAGTCCATCACATTCAAAGTCACAGATGCAGCTACACACTGTTATTTTCAGTATAATTTACCAGACATTGAGAAATACAGGGACAGAGATTTCAAGTGTTTATAAATAAGATAATCAAAAACTGAATACAAAAATTGAAATGCAGCAAAAAATAAAAATCAAGAAAATGAGAAACTGTTATGACCAACGAAAAGAAACATCAATACCCCATTAAGTATTCTATTGTCCAGACCCTACTTTTGGCAAGTTCCTCAAATAACTACTTTACTACCCACCATATTGTATGGCATATGCAGCAAAAAACCATTATTATCTCAATTTTTTTTGTTTCATATATCACATAGGATTAACTTTACTAATGTAAATGACATAAAAAGTGATACATGAATAAACATAGCTTACTCATTAGCACAGAAATTCAATATGGAGAAGATATTAGCATCAAATTGTTTGTCAATTCACCATGACTCACCAAGACATCCACTGAAAGCTTCAAGCTCAAAAGCAAAGGGTTTCCATCTGGACCAGCAATATCATTAAGCAAGACATCTGGGAAGATGTGTGTCCCAATAGTGTACCTTAACAAAAGTGAGTTGTAATCAAAAAGCTGAAACACCAATATTAATAAGACACACATCAACATACGCAACCATCTTCATCACAGCAAATGACATAGGAGAACCATTGTGCCAAAGACCCAGGTCGAAGGGCAAGTCCCCCCTCCCCTTCTCTTCCAAAAAAAAATCTTCCGAGTACTAGTATCCTACTGATGGAGAGTGAGAGGGGAAGAAAAAACTTCAATCCTTGTTGAAGACAGTTTGTTTGGGGAAACAAAAAAAAATACTTGAAGTTGGGTACTTGATTCAAGCAAATCATAAGTTTCCAAAAGAACAAAAAGGCAAATTTATTTATCAATGAAAATTCCCTTACAAAGATGTCATAAATCCTATACACCAGAGAACAAGGCCTAAAGCCATGGTAAGATAGAATCTTAGCCATTAAACTAATATAAATTCAATCTTATGCCAGCACTCAAAAAGAAAGGAAAAAAGACATAGGGCCCAAATTAGAAACTGCTAGAATATACTACTATGGTACTCATGATTAGTAACTGCTACACTACTGCTGAATAGTACTGCTAAGGTACCAGTGAACGTAAAGTGGGAAACTTCTTATTCTTTCGGAGTGAAATTGCTCCTGAGCATCAGGCTCTCTTGGAGGAAAACTCGTCAGCAAGTTTTTTAGGTACACAGTCTACAGGATGTGGAAAAATGTATTCCATTCTAAATTCTTCCAACTATACAACAGCTCAATTGTATATACACTTGATCTTGTGCAAAAGTCAGGAATTTGAGATTTCTTCCATTTGTTGTGATCCGATAAGCCACCTATTTTAGAACTTGGATCAATAATGTCACGTAAAACAAAAAGTAATCTGATCACCATCCTTTTTCATTGCCACACCATTGATTTGCTTGACTTCCCATGAAGTGTTGCCAATTCTGATCAAAACACAGTCCATCATTGGCAAAATTGAACAAACCTTTTGTGAGGAGTCATGCAATCGAAATAGAAGAATTCATGACTTCTACTAGAATGTTCATCAGACAACAGATGAGCATCACAATCCCCAATCTTGAAATAAGCAAGAATCGAGCTCACATAAACCGTTGTTGATAGGGTAATCGTCATAAATTGGTGCTGAATTCCAATCGAAATAACTTCCTTGTGTGTATTTTTAAAGAAATCGACTTTAATGAATGTAAAGGAGAAATTATGGAGGACAAGATAATGAAACTAAAAGAGAACTGCTTTCCAATTCCGCTGGCCATCCAATAGAGGCACCCCCCCCCCCCCCCCCCCAAAAAAAAAAAATCCCAGTGGATATGGTCCATGACTCCATAAGAAAGTGGAGAACACAATTCTATCACAAACAAAGATTAATGGAAGAGGACGATCACGGATAATCTTGCATTCTTGTGAGAACCAATCATGCATTGCTTTGCAATTAAATAACACCAAGGATGGAAGTATAATTTTCGTGGGTTAAACAAAATAGTAATAATTGTGTTATTGGAAAAAACTATTATGTTTTGGGATGAAATTTAACTTTCCAAAGTTAAGGGGATGTAAGTGTAATTACTAAAAATTTTAGAATGCTATCCTTGATATGTGAGATCGGGTAAAACCTCATCTTTATTTATACAATTTCTTGTTAACACTAAAAGAGTTGAGGCTTGAAACTTATTGGGCAAAAAAATAACAAGGAAAAGAGATGGAGAGGTAGGTGTAAGTAGATATATATCGAGGAGCACAAACTAAATATGTTCTCCATCTTTCTCAAATCTTCTAAAACCAATTCATCTCCCTTCAAAGGCTTTTATGGGTTCTTGCCCGTGGGTATCAAAACTAGCTCAAAAGAAACTAAGTTGCTCGATATTCTTACCTTTAACCAGCTCCCGGAATTTGATTGATTTATTTATTCCCTTTTTATATAAGGAAGAAGAAAACTTACATTTAGAGAACAATCAACACACGATTCCTTTACCCCTTTTTAACTTTCATGATAAATGGACTAAACTAAGAAAAAACAAAAAAAAAAGAAATTTTTGTTGTGCAACTTCTGTTGGTTAGATTGAGGATCTTTTGGAGAGGTAAGAACTACTTTTCAATTGATGAGATTGATTAATTACGACCTAAAATCAAGTTTTGAAAGATTGAATATCATTCTTTCATGCATCTAGTGAAGAATGATATTTGATCCATATTTTTGTTATATTTTCATTAATTATGATGTTCAGTACACCCAAAAAAATTATTAATTTTAGGATGTTAAAGTCTAAAGTGGGGTCCACCAGTGTTATTTAAGGCGTAAAGCAAACCGAAGCCACCAAGGCTCCTAACGCCTAGGCGAGAAACGAAGCGACATGCTTTACCGAAGCAAAACGAACAGTTAAAAAAAAATTATATTTTAGTTTAATTACTTCTAAACAATCTAAGTTCTAATTTTATATATATTAAATATTTAAATACAAGTAAAACCATAAACATTTAAATTAAAAAAAACACTAATAATATCTCAAATCTTAATAACAGTCATAACTTAAACATCTAAATTCAAACAAATACTAAAAATTGTATACATTTTCATATTGACAGGGTAGGACAACAAAAGAAGCAGAATCAGGACAACAACAGAATTAGCAACAAAAAAAAAAGAAGCAGAATGAGGATAAAAAAAAAACAAAAGCAACACAGGACAGCAAAACCGAAGCAGCAACATAATCAACAAAAAAAATAGAAGCAGAATGAGCTAAAAAAAAAAAAATAGAAGCACAATGATCATGACAGGAGCAGAATCAATTGTAAACAATTTCATATGTAATTATATACTGAATAAAAAAAAAGCAAAACAGAGGCACATTTCACATGTACTAAAATAATTAAACAAGGTATAAGCATAGACCACTTTTTGGTACCATTTGTATATATATAAGAAAAGGGAAAAGTATAATCAAGACATATCAGAGACATTTCTTTGTAGAAGAATCTATTATTTACCCCCATTTCTGATACTCATGCTTCCTTTTTTTATCATAATTTTCATGCAGTGCAGTCGCCTGACTCCCACATCCCACAAATATTCTAAATGAATTCAGCAACACAAGGAAAAAAAAAGAATGTGTTTTATTCGAAACATTGTTTATTAGAAAAAAAAAAAAAAATAGACCAGCAATAGTCTAAAAAAAAAGTCATTAGTGATTAAAAAATAAAAGAGACTACTAACCTGTAATCAGGAAAAAAAAAAAAAAAAAAAAAGTGAAGCAAAATCGCTTTTTATAATAAAACGTTCGCTTTTTCGCTTTTTTCGCTTCTTCGCTTTTTCGCTTTTTCTCGCTTCGCTCACGTTCGCTTCGCCTGGGGTCCTCCAGGCGAGATAAGCTCGCCTTGCCTCGCTTTTCGCCTAGGCGAGCTTTTCAAAACACTGGGGTCCACTATAGAATTAGCAAGGTAGATAGAGATTAAGGAAACTAGTTAGTATGCACTGGAGTATTTTGTTCCCTTCTTGTTGTAAAGGAGTGAAATACCTAATATTTTTATTTCATGCGATGCTATTGTGTATCTTGTCATAGAGTTTATATCTTTTATGAGATTATGAGTTAGTATTGTTGATTTTCCATGAATCCTTGCATTACTGGTGTGCAGGTATTATCACATGTTAAGTTACACTTTCATCTTAGGAAAATTGAGAAGGTCTCTCGGGACGGGGTGGGATTATTCCCCTATGATTAAACACACCAACAAATTGCCATCGATGCACAATTCCAAAGACCCTTTGCTTGCCGCTCAAAACCCAACTTGCGCACTGTAGGACACACCCAAGCCTTTACCATCACATTAAACAAGTTACTCCACAAACCCTAACCAAAAGAACAAGGACTGAATAAATGAGCATTCAACTCTTTACTTCTCAAAATTTAATGCTGAAAATTATGGTTATTTTTTTGAAGCCATCCAGCTGGTTGTTCGATTTTTTTAAAGTTTTTTGGAAAATTTCGATATTACACCCAGATCTACTGTTTTTGTGGACTCTAGGCACTTTTTGGACCCAATCCACTCGATCTGGCTCGACTAGGGTAGAGGAATAATGCCCAGTGGTTTCCCTTGCATCTAGAGTCGATTTTGGTGCCGGCAGTAGGAATTCCTACTGTTCAACAAGTTTTTTTGCCTCTGGTTGCCTCACAGATGCTGGTTGACCCTGTTTTTTGCCCAAACAGCTACTGTTTCCGCTTGTTTTAATACCCAGAGGCTGTTTGCATACATTCTCCTACTGCTGGAGTTATTTGGTGGGTCTGCTGGAGATTGCTGGCGCGTTGTTTGCCTTTGTCGCAGTTGCTGGTGGTGCTGACAACTTTTGTCTACTGCTGGTTATTGGTCCTAGGGTTGGACCTTGGGCTTTCTTTGTTGGTTGCTGGCTATTGGGTTGCAGCTACTGGTTGTTGGCCTAGAATTGGACCTTGAGTCTTTTTCTTTTGTTGCTAGTTGTTGACCCTTGAATTGGACCTTCTTTTGCTTTTTTTTTTTTTTTTTGGGTTGGTACTCACTGGTTTTTCTTGGTTGCTGGCTATTGGCATTGATTGGGCCTTGGGCTGATGTTCTCTTGAGGGCTTTTATCTCATTGATAGGGATATCTTGAAGTGTGATTATTATGGGAAGAATAGACATACTAGGGAGTTTTGTTGGAAGCTGAATGGATGACTCATATGTGGTCGCGGTGGTACTATACGATTCCATGCACACATGACTGAATCTTCAGAACATCCATTTCATTCTGGTGGCAGTACTTCCACTTCCTTTTCTTAGGATGAGATGCACACTCTCAAAAGTGTGATAGCTTAGCTTGATATTTTTTCTACTCATGCTTTTTCTTCTAACTTTACTCAAACAAGTATATCTTCTACTGCATACACTCCTTGGATAATCAACTCTGGAGTGACAGACCACATGACTGGTTCCCCTAGCCTTGTCTCTTCATATTCTATATGTTCAGATAGGGATAACGTAAAAGTGGCCAATGGAACTTTATCCTCTATTTCAGGAAAATGTTCAATTAATTGCTCTTCAACATTACCCTTTCATCCGTTCTACGAATTTATTGTCACTTAGCCGTATTACTAATTCCCTGAATTGTTCAGTTACTTTTTAGCCTACGCATTATATTTTTCAAGATCTGCAGTCGAGGAAAACTATTGGCAATGGTAGAGCACATAGTGGTCTATACCTTTTGGATGCTGAAGCTTTTTCTCATTCTACTAGTCCAGCACTTCAAGCAGATGATGTTTTGACTCTTCACCTCTTACATCAATGATATAGACGTTTGGAGCATCCTTCATTTAGTGTCTTGGAGAAACTTTTCCCTAGTCAAGGGAAGCAGTGTACTAGGCATACATTTGTTTGTGATGCTTGCGAACTTGCAAAGCACAAACGTTCATCTAGTCCTAGTACTAATAATAAAAACATTGCTCCCTTTGTCATTATTCACTCTGATGTGTGAGGACCTTCCCGTACTGTGTCTACTTCTGATTATCGTTGGTTTATCACTTTGATTGTTATTCTTGTCTTACTTGGTTTCTTACTCCGTACTAAAAGTGAAGTTTTATCTTTCTTTAGATCTTTTCATAAAATGGTGAATACTCAGTTTGATACTAAAATCAAGATCTTTCAGAGTGATAATGGGACTAGGTACATAGATGGAGAACTTCGTTCCTATCCTAATGAAAACAACATTTTTTATCAAATCTCTTGTGTGTGTATCCCTAAACAAAATGGTGTTACTGAGTGAAAAAATTTGTCATCTTATTGAGGTTGCTCATTCATTGATGTTCACCATTAATGTTCCTAAATCTTTATTGGGAGATGTTCCTCTTCTAGCTACTTACATTATTAATCGTCTTTCGTCGTCGATTCTTCGGCTTAAGTCACCTATTGAGTGTCTTTCTGGAATTTATTCTATTCCTTCTATTTCTTCTCTCCTTCCTAAGATCTTTTGGGTGTGTGTTCGTTTCGTACATGATTATAGATCTCCTAGGGGAAACTTGACCCCAAGACCCTACAATGTATATTTATTGGTTACTCTTCCACCCAAAAAGGATATAAATGTTATCATCCCAAGACTCAAAAGGTATTTGTTA